CAACTGGCTTTAGATAAGCCAGCCCTTTATTAGTATATAAGTGCTTTGTTAATAGTTCTATCGCTCAAAGTGGAGTAGAAAGAGATTAGTTTTCAGTCTGCGCCGGAAGGTGTGTAAGCTATCTGCTGTCCTGATGTCAATGGGGAGCTCATTCCACCATTTTGGAGCCAGGATAGCAAACCCACGTGTTTTTGCTGATGGGAACTTGGGTCCCCTTCGCAGCGATGGTGCAGCGAGCCGTTTGGTTGATGCAGAGCGGAGTGCACGTGCTGGAGTGTACGGTTTAACCATGTCCTGGATGTAGGAAGGGCCAGATCCATTCGCAGCATGGTACGCAAGTACCATTGTCTTGAAGTGGATTCTAGCAGTTATCGGAAGCCAGTGAAGGCAGCGGAGGAGCGGCGTGGTGTGGGAGAATTTAGGAAGGTTGAAGACCAGGCGAGCAGCTGCATTCTGGATGAGCTGCAGAGGTCGGATGGCACATGCAGGTAGACCAGCCAGGAGGGAATTGCAGTAGTCTAGGCGTGAGATGACGAGAGCCTGGACCAGAACCTGCATCGCTTTCTGGGTCAGCTGGGGACGCATCCTCCTGATGTTGTAAAGCATGTATCTGCAGCAGCGGGTTGTAGCAGCGATGTTTGCAGTGAAGGACAGGTTGTTATCTAGGGTCACACCCAGATTCCTTGCAGTCCGAGTCGGGGAAACAACAGAGGTGCCAATGTTGATTGTTAGGTCAAGAGTGGGACAATCTTTTCCCGGAAGGAAAAGCAGTTCAGTCTTGTCAAGGTTGAGCTTGAGGTGATGATCAGACATCCACTGAGAGATGTCAGCTAGACAAGCAGAGATGCGTGCGACGACCTGGGTCTCTGAGCAGGGAAAGGACAGAATTAATTGGGTGTCGTCAGCGTAGCAGTGGTATGAAAAAACATGCGGGCTAATGACTGATCCGAGCGAGTTTGTGTACAAGGAGAAGAGGAGGGGACCAAGAACAGAGCCCTGAGGGACCCCTGTAGTTAATTGACAAGGGTCGGACTCGGACCCTCTCCAAGTAACCCTGTAGGTGCGGTCTTTGAGGTATGAGGTGAGGAGAGAAAGTGCAGAGCCTGAAACTCCAAGTTCTTGGAGAGTGCGAAGGAGGATCTGATGATTCACAGTGTCAAAGTTCTATCATACTGAGAAAGTTTCCACTATTGGGCTGTCCAAGAATCTCCCTATGTCCTCTAAAAGCCAAGTTACAAGTGGCCAGAGTGATTGTAACGTTAACAATAATTAGATTAGTCAACTCTGAGGGGACAGGGGACAGACAGCATAACTTCAAAGAGACTGCCTTAATCAAAACCTAGATTAACATCAGAGGCTTATATCACACCCACCTGTTATAACACCTCACATCAAAGGATTAGACTACAAAGGGGTGTGGGGGGGACAGGGGCCAGACAGCATAACTTCAAAGAGACTGCCTTAATCAACACATCAAATAATTAGACAACAAAGGCACTACACAGGGGGGTTTTTCACACCTACCTGTTATAACACCTCACCCCTCACATCAAAGGATCTTGAACAAAGGGAGGCGGGACTTAGCTAATTTGCATAATTGTACCCACTCACATCAAAGGATCTCGAGCAATGGGAGGCGGGACTTAGCTCATTTTCATAATTGGGGGCGTGTCACCTGTCACTTTTTCATGCATACTAATGAGACGAAAGGGGGATCATTACTACTACTTACATACATAAGAGTATAATCCATATGTATAATATCAGTTAAAATAAGTGCTTCAACATAGTTAACATTGCAGGAAAGCAATATATTAGACGTTAAGTACTTTGTCAGGCTTAATATTTATCTGTAGAGAGATACCCCCAAAGTCTTTTTCTTATTTAAAAGAAGACCTTAATCTGTTATTTAATGTTTAAATAAAGGTTAATTCGTTTTTCTGTTTTGCACCTCCTCCTATTAATATCTTTGTACATCCTGCACTAAACTGTTTTATTGTAGAGATCACTTACAGTATCTTCTTGATTTTTTATATTCTATATTTCTATCAAAGACCTTCTACTTTCCCCCTATGAAAGTATGTACTCTTAATATTTTTTTAATGAAATATAACACATAAAAACAATAATTAAATAATGTGCTTTAACCACTAGGCGGTGCACACAAGGTACACACAGCCATAATAACTTTGTATTATTAGTGTAGGACACTTATGTATGTCCAACATCTGAAGATGTGTCGTTTTATTCATGCTTTCACATAATTTTACAGCATATTGCTATACTATTTCAGACTCAGTATTTACATTCTTACATTCAAAATTCAATTCAAATCAGTAATATCTTTAAAAACTACAAGTCCTTTTATATCAGCTGTGCACCGTTATGGTGTAAATATAACCCATCTATGAATTAGATCAAATGTAAAAGTCAGCCGAATTAGTGTTGATACTGCAAGGAGACGTATTGTGTGAAGAGAAATTGAAGATGTTGTTTAATTGTTGATATATTTATGATCCACGTCAAGTATTCAGTTTCGGCGGCATTTCTTCAGTTTTTCCAAAGGTCTTCTCATCAGGGCTCTATAAATAAAGAACTATGGCAGATCTGTAATATGTAATGCAGCCGAACCGTGTATTACAATGCCGTTATGTGATGACTTTCAAAGAGAAAAGCAAGAGCACTCGGAATTAAGTATTTTATTCTTTTAAAATGTTTTCCGGATTTCATATAATATAAACACCAAATCCCAGCATGCATTCCGGCTAAAACATCCAATCAGCGTAGCTGAGGATCTTGGGTAATCGCTCGAAATGCCTACGTCTGTTTCCGGTTATTTTTATTTTGAAATTCAGTTCCTGACGGACGCCAAAAAAGCCCGAGATTATGGAATTAAACCAATAAATAAAAGAAAGGATAATTGTGTGTTATTGGTGAGTAAATAACAGTGTGTTATTTTTGAAAATAATAACAAATTAGAAGGAAAAAAAGATTTAAAAAATACAGATTTCAGTATCCTGAGGCTCTGAGCCCCATTTATTTTCCTCACAGACGGCAACACTAAAGGTCTAAAATAAAGACCTAAATGAATATTTGGGATGTTCTTGCCTTTAGATTCTCCCAATAAGTCCAAGTACAGAGGGTGACTTTGCTGTGAAAAAACACATTTCCACCAAAAAAACGTTAGCAACCATGAATGTGTAACATATTCATGAAGTAATCTTCGTCATAACTAGCAAACTAAACATCATGTACACTGCACAAATAATCAGAAATAAAAACTCATATTACTGACATCAAAACGCATTTTAATGGCCAAATGAACCTTAAAATAGGCATTTTCCACCGAGAATAACACGAAGGTCGGCCATTGTTGTTGATCACGTGGTCTATGAAGGTCTATGGGACGCCCTGCCCCTAGAAGCCTGACGGTCAAGGGGTCCACTGTCCGCAATAAAGGTATATGGGACGCCCTGCCCGTAGAAGCCTGACTTCCAAGGGGTACCCTGTACGTAATAGAGTGACGGGGAGGGGCCCTGACCGTCTGTCAATATGTGACGGGATGGGAGTGAGAACGTGTCACACACACACACACACACACACACACGCGCGCGCACACACACACACACACACACACACACACACACACACACACACACACACACACACACACACACACACAGCTCCTAAAGCATAATCAGGCTACAGCCGTTGTGTATTTTATTATGTGAAGCACTAAATGGTTTTAGAAAGATATCGACTCTGTTTGTAGATATCTACTAAACTAAAGCACATAAAGAGAGTAGGCCTGTTATACTGAGTGATATACATTCTACACACTGCTCTGCTTTCTGCACCAGCTGTTCTCACTGTAAACACCGCGAAGCGATGAAAGCAGTTTCTAAAATAATATCCAGGGGATGCATGCAGAGCTGTCATTGGCTGAGATAAGTCCGGCCGTGCGTCACGCCGCCACCGTACCCGGAAATGCATCCGTGGACGAACCATCAGTGTATCCTCGGTTATAGCTCCTCCAGAGAGCCTCCTCGACGCTCGATCCTCGGTCCTAAAAGTGCATTTAGAGAAATGAGATGTCCTTCAACATGGCACACTGAAATCCATTTCCGGGTCACTACCGGAGGACCGAGGAGGGGAAATTTAATAATTGAGAAGCCTCTCTTGAAACATCTCTGTTGCTGGAAATGCATCCACGGAGGATCGTGGGGGACCCATCAGTGTCTCCTCGATCAGAGCTCCTCCAGAGAGCCTCCTCGATGCTCGGTCCTCGATGTGCATTTAGAGAAATTAGATGTCCTTCAACATGGCGCGCTGAAATGTATTTCCGGGTCACTACCGGAGGAAGGAGGATTCGAGGAGGCTCTCTGGAGGAGCTATAATCGAGGATGATGGGGAGTCGAGGAGGGGAAATCCCAGAAATGAGATCCGGCCCCTGAGTTTATATTTGAAGAGCACGATGATGATGACCAATCAGCAAACCTAAACACAACTAATAAAGGGCAATCGTGCATCACTGAGATAGAAGTTTTTATTTTTATTTGTGAGTTGGTGATAGTGCCACTGCCCACTGCTAAATAAATATAACAATTTGAAACACGTGAATTTTATAACAATTATATTTATCTGATTATTGTAATGGTTCCATGCAATTCAGATGATTTTAAAAGATGTAATGTGTTGTTTTAAGCCTCCTGCTCTAAAGAAATAGGGAGCATTATTTCACCTCTACTACTGAAAACATTAGTCGTTAAATGTATTGTATTTACGTATTTATTATATTGAAATCTAGAACTATTATCAAAGTGGATAAATGTTGAAGAAATTGAATTTATGTAGAGGAAAAAAATACAAATACTAAATATAAAAAAACTTAACAAAATGTAATATAATTATTATTACAAAATCATGACTTTTCCACCTTGTAGTTGGAAGAAAAAGCTAAAACAACAAACAAATCCAAAAGAGACACGTGGAAACTGTCATGGAGTCTGTAAAATATCATCTTCAGTTTACTGACAATTGTACATTTGATCAGATGTTACCCTTTAATTTTAAGGCAGGAGATGATAGGGATGAGAGAAAATAACCCCCTCTCAACTTAAAGCACTTTGAGACAAACTGTGAACATGCACTTCACAAATAAAACATTATAAAAAGGGCACATTATTGTTGGTGTAAATAATAGTTTCATTTCAAAGCAGTACCAATTAATAAGCAATGTAAACTGATACACTGAACAATACTTTTGAGGGAAATCTGCAATAAATGCACATTCTATGGACAATCTTGCACCAAAGATATTGATATTGAAGTGACGATTATTTTGTATATATTAATATTGATTGTTGTGTTTTTTATCTTAATGTGTGCATATGTGTAAATGTGTCTGTTGATTGTGTATATAGGATATACATATTGTATACATATCTGTATATTGTATAATTTTTATATTCGGGAATGTTGGAAATGTCATTTCGATCTCTCTGTCTGTAAACACAAACTGAGTAAGATTGACATTAAAGTTGACTTTGACTTACAATAGTGTCATCAAATATTTATATTTTCAAGTTCTTCACCAGTGCCAGGTTTCTTTTTCCAACACAGCTCACTGAGATTGTCTGCTCTTAGGCTCTTTAAAAGGACATATTTGCACTATTAGCAACACATTCCAGAAGTGTACAGTGTGCTGTGTCTTGAACATAATAATATCATCATTATTATTATTATAACAACAACCTTTTCATGCACATTTATTTTTTCAACATGTGAATGCCTCATTCTGAAACTTGTGTGATACCTGATAAGTGAGATAAATGTCATCGTGTCGAGCTTTGGTTAGAATTGTCTGTTTCCTCAGAATCTGCAAACTCCACAGGGGCTCTGTAGCAGCGCCGCCCGCCCCCCCCCTGTCTGAACGGAGCAAAGCGTAGCCACTTCTTCACCACGTCAGCATACTGATGGTGTGTGGCTTCTTTACCCACCGGTGTGCGTTTCAGAGCACCTAAAAGGAGAAGCTAGAAATTAACCTTTGTACACAGATCAGTGTTATTTATTAACCATCATTACATCATTCTCCATATATTTACTTTCAGATAAAGACACTACAAACCATACCTGCTTAATAATCCAAATAATAAAACATGTCAGTTGAAACTAAGAGGATTTGGCTATAAGATTGCTATTGACAGTGTATGAATGAGTGCTTAACCCAGACATGAGTTGCATTGTAGCAATTTCGGGCTCACTTTTGTCGTTTCTATGTCACTTCATATATATATATATATAATATGAATATTATGAGCCAGGATACTTTTAAATATATCCTAGTCCATAACAATTTTGGTACTCATATTTTGGAATGCCATTTTCATTGTTGGATAAAAGCACAAACTGAAGAATGTGTTGTTTAATTACCTTCCTTTACTATTAGACCTGGTTGGACATCCACATAAAAAGGTGGCAAACCTCTCGTTAAATTGAGACATTTGCGAAAATGTAGTCTCTTCACCCATAGTCTGTCACTATGTTATGGTAATAAACAACGGTTACCAGTGGAGGCCTTTCAGGCGGGGGGAGTGTGTGGGAGAGAAACTCCCTCTGAATGGAACTTTGGGATTTTAGCCTTTGCAGACCAGTAATATTCACAAAAACCTGTACAGGACAGGACAGGAGAAGAAGCATAACAGGGCCTCTTTAAGTAGATTCAGGTAGCAATGCCTACTTACAGAAGAGCACTCCCTGGAGGCGAGTGTTCCTGAAGCTTCTCTTCCGGCCTCGGCCCACCCAGTTGAGCTCAGAGCCGACAGCGAATGTAAGCACAGACTGCATCAGACGTCTCACCGCGTCGTCAACCGTAGCCCCGCCCATCCGTGACAGGTACGAAACCTTAAATTAGGACAAGACGTCAACGTAACAGAAGGCCCTGAGCATTCACACAGCAAAGTACCAGGATTATTGAGCATCACAGTACATGTCATTTGAACTACCATTCTCTTTTGACTTCCTGTCTCTTCCAGCTGCCTCTCCATCTCATCCAGCTGCTCCAGGGTCCTCAGGGGGAGATCCATGTCCAGATCCTCCACGTCCTCCTCCTCCTCGTTGATGCTCTGACCCGGCAGTCTGGCCTGAAGATCCTTCAGCACCGCCCACTGCCTCTGCTGCTCCTCTTTGATTTCCACCAGCAGGGCGATGATCTTCCCTTGAGCAGCAGTCTCTAGAGAAAGAGAGTTGGAGAGAAGTTGACCTCTTTTCCACCTATATGAGTACTGTTCGAGTTCAATGCTAGTTAACCTGTTTGCTTTCCCACTGATTGTTGGAGTGATACGCCACTGGGGCCAAATGAGAGTCTGAGATTAAACTCTGAATGTTTTGAAAAAAAAGTCAGAATTCTGAGCAAAACAGTATGAATACAAAAAAAAGAATTCTTATTTAATGCTCAGAACATATTATATAACATTTGTGTTACATTGTCACTGGATATTTGTTAACATATATATTTTATTACATTTCTAGGCATTAACACTTTTACTGCTCTGGAAATGATAGTCTCGAAGATATTATTGATCACATCTCTTCAGTCTTCAATTAATTATCTCAATCTATCCATCTCATAATTTCTGTCAAAGCACGACCTTCAGTATACATTTATGAAATGTATGATTTTGGTGAGCATCAATTCAATGTTATTTACTATATGCTTTTTTAAGGGCGTACGTCTGTGAATGAAATAAATAAGTTCCAAATATTAATATCAACATTTGTACATATCCCCAGATAGGAATACTACTAGCAAAACAAACCAAAATGAAACCATCAATAACAATATCAAATAAATAGAATGTATTGTGAATATAATACAGTTAACCTTAAATATCAAATGTATTACACCCTGAAATACAGCACATTTATAAAAGAATAGCAGAAATAGTATTTTGAGGATAAAATAAATCGTTGCCATAAATACTTCAAAGCACACACGTTCACGTGCACTTGCAGTATCACGGATAGACAACACAAAACTATTCCAGGGTTTCGCAATTCGCAGTGAATGACCGTCTACCTGTGGATGGGGGGGCAGATAGTAACTTGTCAGCTCCGGAGCTACAGGCGGTGGAAAGCGGCGGCTCTTCCCCGAAACTAACGTCCCTTCGCCGGGGTTCGTCTGTGAACTCTTCCCCTGAGCGTCTGGAGCCTCGTTCGGTCAGACTGTGCATCTCCCCGGCACACAGCCTCTGCTGGAGGCTCTCCCGAGCAATGTCTGCCATATGTTTGTTCACCAAACCCTGCTCTCGTCGTTGCACCGGCCAGTTGTGGTTATCCCCATTATCGTGCTCCATTTAACTTTTTCTCATACGTTCCCAAAACCTTTTCCAAACCGTTCAATAACGTTTCTTGACGCTCTTCACTCAAGAGAAGCGGAAGTTGAGGAATTTCCAATACCACGTTGCACAAACGTCACCCAAATGTTGAAAGAACATTGGGAGCGGCTACCGAACTACGTTTCCCATAAGGCAACAGTAACGCAGATTGGACCAAAACGTACAGTTGTAGTTTTGTGAGACCAGTGCACAGCAACAAGTTCCTTTTATCATAGTAGCCTACGTACACACGGCAAAAGAGAGAAATAATCCGTACTAAACCTTTGAGAGTGTAGTCTACATCTCCGGGGAATGTGGTGTCTTCTCCGAGGAATATATGCAGTTTGTTTTATTTTATGAACCCTTTGTTTTTTACTATTTATTTTATATTTACTTCCGTTTGTCAAGGAAAACCATTGTGACCTCCTCCCACCCCTTCCCAATTGTGCACTTGGTTGGGTCCAATTAATTTCTGTTGCCTGGCTCTGCATTTTTCAATGAATATGTGTGTGAATAAACCAGGGATTAATCTACAGAAATGTTATTCAACGGGATGTGATACATTTTACTACCCAATTTAGAACTAGAGGTATATCATGTGAATGTCTAAAGTGACAAAACATTATAACAATTAGAGTTATGGATGGGAATCGAATAATTGAAGTTCACCTAAATGCCCACTAGATGGCAGTATTAAAGCACAAAATGCAATCAGTAACATTTTGATGAGTTTTGGGAGAAATCATTTTGTATTTTCAGTGTAGGATTATTGATATGTTTGCATTACATAAATAAATTAGGCTGGCAACCAAATAAAACCCAATAAAAACTACTAGCAGAATGGTGTGTATGTAACTCTTTAGTTTCTTAATTTTTGACTATTTATAGGTATGTAGTTGAGTAAACGTTTTCATTTTATTCTACAAAGCACTGAAAAAATGTCTCCCAAATTAAACATTTTGTCATTTAGATTAAAAATTTTTTTTAAAAAAATGCTGAAAATGACCAGCAGTTAAAATAACAAAAAAGTATTTATTGGAGAAAATAACGAAAAGTTATAATTATATTGAGGTAATATAAGCTATACATATAAAAGTATAAGACCAAGAGTATACAGTATTCTTCTCTTAATAATGCAATGAAAGTAGTTCAATTGGTTAACAGTTTATTGATGATGGATTAGTTGGTAATGACCTTCATGGTGCATCAATGATGTATCCTAATGACTTTCAGGCTTGGAGAGTAACGGATTATATGTAATGGGAATATGTAATAAGGATACAGAAAAGATAGCTGTATTCTCTTACAGTTACATAAACAAAAAATACGTAATCAGAATACTTTTAAATTAAAACAACTGGGGATAACTATCAGGATTACAATGTTACTAAAAAAAGAGCATGTTTGTTTTAAAGGATCAGATGTTGTCTCTTCTCTGTCAGCTGTACTGTTCTGTAGGCTAACACTTTAAGAGAGAATCTATACAGTACGCCTACTGCCTGAATCTGCTTTATGGCTTTCACTTTCTTTGCTTCATTTGTTCTGTTGTTAATTCAGTATGTGAACCTATATGTTCATAAAATAGTGTGTGTGAGCTTAACTGTATTAAACTAAAACGGAGCATTTTCTGTCTGCTCAGATATTATTTCTGCTTTTTCAAACTGTAGTATGTGTTCATGTGTTTCAGTGTTGGTGTATAGGCTGCTGCCTGAATATGCTGAATGAAAGGCAGCTTTACTATAAATAAAATCTCTGAGCACACATTTCTGATCTTCAATATCTTGGTTTCTTCTTTTCTAAGGGCACACTGTTCTGTTGTGTTCACTTTGGTAAAAAAAACAACAGATTTTTCTTTTCCTTTTTTCATTGCATTTGATATTGAGGTATCCACATCCGAAAGTAACGGAAAGTACAATTATTATTTTTTTAAACACTTTTTTACGGGTAATTGTTACAGATTTTTTTTTTTAAAGTAACCCTCCCAACTCTTATGACTGTACATCAAAAGCTCCACATTCGTATATCTATGGGATATCTGCAAAGAGAAAAACTATGACAAGGTAAAGCGAAAGTATACACTTAAACAGGGAGTGTGTGCAAGTATACATTACCGTTAAGTGACAATACAAGAGGTACTTGTCAGTCCTTTAAAGGAATTTTTGCATGCATGTGTGAGTTTGTATATCCAATAAAAACGTACCACAGGACAAGGCTTGTGTTTCCTTAAGCAAAGACCACTTTATTAATGCTAAGGTAGCACAATAATCTCTCAAAATTACATTTAAAACATCTAAACACAAAGTAAACCTATGTTGAAAAGTTTTCTTGTGTATGAAGAGGTAAAGCTTAGATCCAGAGAAACGTATCGTCTGCAAACACTCACACTCTATCTCTTACATCCCGTACTAGCAACAGCATGCAGTCATCTAGGATATCCAGTTCAAACTAAATCCAGTGCCATCTAAAAAACGTGTTGAACCCTCATCCCAATATACATTAAGATTTACTTTAAATTATTTATCATATTGAAATATCTCCATGCGAGTAAACAAAGGACAATATCTTCAGAGGTCTCAAACACATCAAAGGGGGGTACAAAGGGCACCTAGGATCTATGAAAATATATTCAACAGATATACAGGTTGAGACAAAAAATATATAAATACATTTACACCTATCTATATACAGTATGTACATCAGCAATATCACCAATGTGAATATCACAACATTATTAAGAAATCTCACAAGACACCTCTTTTCAAAATGTAGTAGTTTGGTTGGTTTTTCAAAGACCCTATGTTCAGGTACAAACAGTGAATAGCAGCACAGAATGTATTCCACTAAATCATCTGTACCATCAATTGTTAAATGGTAAAGTGCGTGATACAGATATTTCTGAAAAAATGCCCTGTGGTGTACTGAAAATACTTCAAAACATGAACGAATGATGATGCCTTGTACCAAGTGTTGTTTCAGCCAGAGTAGTGTATCATATAGACTGCAGTGCTTCTCAAAGTGTGGTCCGCGGACTACTGGTGGTCCGTGAGCGCCCCCTAGTGGTCCGTGAGTATATTGGTAACATTTCACATTTGAAATAAATAAATACATTTAAGTTTTCCGCACTCTCGCGGGAATATCTCCGCAATGGAAGGAGCTTAAGTTTCACTTTCTATTGCATGATAAAGCCCAGGGCAACACCTTCGTCACACATGTTGCCACTTGTTTGTACCATTTTCAGGCGATTTATAATCTGTTCTAGAAAAACGATGTGTTTTGGGATATTTGTGGAGTTAGGTGGTCCGCGAGTGTTTTATTATTGGTTAAGTGGTCCTTGGTATGAAAAAGTTTGAGAAACACTGATATAGAGTGAACATCTGTTAATATAGCTGAATAGCAAGGAATGCTACATGCTTAAAGATCCGCTGCTTGATTTAAATTAAAACACAGACTGTCTTGAAACTAAACTTTGAACAGTCATCAGCATTATTGGTTTCGAAAGAGATATACTTTATTTTATTGGTCCCATGTCTTCAGAACATAATATGATGCCTATCGAGTGGTGCACTGATGATGTCTTTTTGTAGGCCGACCCGGGTGTTTGCATCGCAAAAGGCTCCCTTGACAAAAAGCAATTGGACTTAAACATTGTATTTTGGAATATTTAAAAAAACGATCTTTGGCCAACACATGTTCATGATACTTTGTTCAGCAGGATCATTTCCACATATTATCACTTTGTGATTTCTGAAGCATGAATTCAATCTGCAGTAATGAAAAGCTAACGTAATGCTATAAACTAACTACATCATGGTCAAATGGTTGCGCGTCACCACCGCTAAGCTAAATGTGGCTAATATTTGGTGTGATGACGTTTAGTAGTTTATTAATCCACTTGTGAGCAACCGCCATTTTGATAACACATAAAAGCTTCGGACATTCACAAGTGGGGTATTACTGACGTATTTTATGTCCGAGAACTAAACATGACAATCTCTTCAGCTCGTGTTAACAACAGATCTTATTTCAGGCTTCTCACCAAAAAACTGGTTAAAAAAAACATTGACTTTGAGGCGAGGGACCCACAAATGGTAAAATGCTAACTCAATTCAGGGTTTTAGGACTCATTCCTGCACCACTCTATTATAAAGTATAACTCACTTGGATTGAATGAATGTGTGTCATATTTTTCCTTCATATCAGAAGATCTTTAAGGGTATTAATGCGAGGCATATTTGAAACCAGAAGTCATGATAATTCAAAAACATATCTAGTTATTATCTGAAATAACGTAATACATAATTATGAGTCAACATTTTAAGAAAGTAATATCATTATTTAACTTCAAAATGTGACTTGAGATGAGATGTAGAAAGAAAGGCTTAATGATGACATACTAACTTAAACCCAAAGAATGCAAGTCAACAATGTTTATATATTAAAATATATATTCATAATTTTAAACGAGTATTGCATCATGCATCAAAAGGTTGACTTGCCTGTGACTACCTCATCATTTTTGAATGATCTAATCAGACTTTTGACTCAGCATCTCATTTGATTTTTGCAACATTTAATGTTCATCCTTTTTCTGGCAGAAATGGGCTGTTTCAGATATAGATATCTCTATAAACTCAACAAAACTTTTTCAAATAAATGAAACTTTGTATACCATCTCAGAATATTCTCTTTCACTATAAATAGCACCAGATTAAATTGATATTTCAGAGTAACTTTCAAATAAATAATTAGAACAAATGGGAAATTAGTTCAAAAGTTCAAAAGTTCAAAATCTAGCTTCAGGCTACTTTATAACCAGAATCAACAGTATTTGAGAATAACTTAAATAAATCCGTGTCCCATTATTATTTGATAATACAGTGTGGAAGAACTGACCATGATAAGAGTTGTAGGGCTCCATATGTTAATAACAGTCCTGCTGTGATTGTGTGTATAGTCATTGATAAATAACTTTGTTAGGAATGCTGTTACAGAGTCACATATTCACAGACATCATGTTAAACTAATGTGTCTTTGATCATTAAAGTGGCATATTTACACATAAGCTCATAGTTATTGCATTACATAAGATTCGCAACACACGTAAACCCTGTTTTCCGTTCATAGCACTCTGGCCTCTGTATAAATAAATGTGATATATGATATATTGACAACAAACATAAATTATTTGTACATTCGAAAGACAATATTTCTCAGATCTTATATTTGATAATACTCGTCAATAAATTAAACATTTCCCTGAAACAAATCAGACTTTTTTTTAGCAATTGTCTTCCATTAAACAAAAAAAACAAAAAATAGAGGAAAGCTGACATTTTGATGAATCTGACCGATGAAGAGTTCATTTCTGTGCTGGAAGCCTTTGAGGAATAGTGTGACTCCAGTAGTTGAATACAAATCCTCCGTAGGGTTTCACGAACCACATTGTACATGCTCCAAAAAACTAGTAGGAATATTTATCTCAATTTTACCACAAACCTACCAAATCTGGACAAATCTAGACATTAGGCGTTACAAAATACAAAGAACTCCTGGATAAAAATAAAGTCGAACGCTCAACCTTTGAGTATTAGAGCTGGAATAGAAGTCCTGATGCTTGGTATTGCACCTTTACCTCACGAGTGTAGCAGGAAATTCACCGCAGAGGAAGTACCTCGTGCGACCTGTTTGAAATAATGCCACCACTGTTTTCAGTCTATTTGGTCGGTGTCTTCCAGAAGAGAAAAAAAGCAGCAGTTCATCGTTTCTGTCCCTAGGTGGCAGCGCAAACTACGACACTTCTCCGCAACAATCTCCCAAAACATTTACTTCTCTAAAAATCATAATTCTTTCATAAAAACCTGCTTCATTTTACAAGGATGCCATCCTTATAATCAGCACACATCAGGAGAAACACTTAAAGTCTCCTAGTTTAAGCTCTTCAGTGCAAGTTTGATTTCTTTTTTTTAACATCCACACATACAACATAAAAGTCATTGATAAAATCAACAAGACAAAATACCTTTTCGAGGAAATTGTGCTTGTTCGAACACGAGTGGTTCCAGCCAACTGGGTCCATAAATAAAACCTGCCCGGGTGCTTTGTGACCTCCAGAGGGGAAATGTGCGAATGACATGAATAAATAATAAATATGACATCTAGGGGTATTTACAGAGGTGGTCTATTTACAGAAGATAAAGAAGAATCTCCCCTTAAAGCTATTTCATTCCCAGTACAAAATATAGGAGCTACAACTATGATGCTATTGATGGTAAAGCTTGAGGAGGAAATTAAATGTGGGCATTATTGGACAAAAATGTGACTTTAGGTTATTTTGTTCTCCAGAAAAAGGCAAAGATACAGAGAACAATATGCTATTGTACGCTGCTAACTGCTAGCGGCCAACTGCTAGCGGCCAACTGCTAGCGGCCAACTGCTAGCGGCCAACTGCTAGCGGCTAACGGCTTGTGTCCACATAGTGCTTTTTTTGAGCGGCAGCATCTTTTTTCAATCGTTTCCAATGAGGAGAGAGCTTATGCTTTTCATGCAGCCACCTTGAGAAACAGCGTTGCACCTAGCGTCTTTTTTCCTACGCTTTTTGTCGGACAAGCGTAGGTGATGTCACGGTAAATTAGAGGAGAAGCTTGTTTTTGACCGTGTCTCTCAGACGGAAACTATTACAACAAAGACTAAAAGCCTGTTTGTTTGAACCGATCAGTCTGGCGGACCCTTGTACTTTTTTCGCTGAGCGCAGATCTTCCTCTACGGCTGTCAGACTGAGCGGTGCAGCTCATTCATACAAAGTGTGAGAGCTAGCATCTTTTAGTGTGGTGAAAAAACAATCAAATCAAACTAATATAAAGTAGCTGAAAACAGACAATACAATCCAAAAGGTAGATGCTATTCTGCCATAAAAAAGCGGTGATACATTGCCAATAAATCATTGTCATAGCATCAATGAAAAAGGTTAGGAGCGTTAGTTTGATGGAACTCTGCGAGGAGGCGCCTTTCCGCCAAAAACCCATGTGGACACAATCGTAACTGTGCTGCAACATGATCTCAAAGAAGGTAAAGGTACTGTAGAGATCTGTAGAGAGATGGAGAGTCAATGTTGGTATTCATTCATTCTTTTACCAACCTACGGAAGTTGATAAGGGCCACATGTGAATTTTCTTTTTGGATCCGGCAACATTTATGTTTTTTTTTAGTTCTGAGATCACAGTGCAGACCTCTGAAAAAGAAAGTCAGAATTCTGACTTTTTTATCAGAACTCAAAAGCAATTTTACTTTTGGCCAGATCTCAAAAATAATTGCCCCAATCATCTTCCGTATGCATCTCTGAAGCACTTATTGTCTTCCTGCTTTTCGTCTTTTTGCAGGTAGCTGTTCCCTATGCTGGGAATCACCTGTGATTGGCAACGTTTCCTGAAAATGTCTCTGACATTTCCAATGATTGGCCAAACAGACTAACATTTGTAAAGCATGAAAACAGAACCATGAGGAGGTACAGGGTTCGTTTTTGACCTAACCGCTTGAATTAAAATACGCTGAGGGGTTCTTTTTGAATATTTTTTGATAATGCCCTGATTCTGTGTGGGGGTTGTGTTTCTTAAAATGTTTCACTAAAAATACTTAATAATGTCCACATGTTGGAAATCTAAAATAGTCTTAAGATAATGGTGTTTGAAAATCGGGCCCATCTGCTTACCATTGTCTGTTCTTTGCCTGAAGATTTGCACTCTTAACTGTGTTTTAAAAACGTTATCTGAACCACAGCGCTAATCTACACCCTCCCACCTATTTACATCATTGCTTTTATAATTATTACTCTCCACTAGTAGATCTAAAAGACCCACCTTTCCTCTCAGGAAAGGTTAGCAGCTAGTAAACATGACTACTTTCACACCTAAATACAGGGAGTTTCAAAATAAAGGTCCTCAAGTCAGGAGCAAGCAGTAGTGGTGACTCCTGTCCTCAGTTCTGTCCTGTGTGAGGGCACGTCAGTCATTTCTATCTCTGCCCCGAAAACTAGCCGACACAGCAGATAACAGCCATCAAAAAAAAAGAAGCAGAGTGGGACATCTTCTCATAAAAGCAGGTAAGTGAGTGCGTTTTAAATGGTATTTGCAAATCATTCTCGCTGTTAAATATATTAAGAATTATACCTTCTGGGTCTAATTCTATCGTCGGAATGTGTAGGAATTCTTTGCAAACACCATTTATATAGTATATATGTGTGCACTTGTCTGTGTGTGTGTTAATCGTCACGGCAGGTTGGCAGGTTGACGAAGGTGAAGATATTGTACTCGATAAGGCAGGAGACACACAGGAAGACGGAGTAGAGGAGGAGACACGTGAAACCCAGGCGCTTGTCCAGAGTCCACTTGTTGAGGTGAACTCCCAGGACCTGGACAGAGATAGACACAGATGGGGGGGGGGATTAAAAGGCAGATTAACAGATCAATGGGCTGATGAAACAAACACATGGACGGAAATCAGAACTCTATTATATCCCTTTCCCGCCGAGGCAGTTCCAGGGACAGTTTGAAGCCGGTGCCCCATTTCAAACCAGTTTTTTGTGTTTACACTGCAGCAACGCCGGCTCTCTGGCCTGCTAACTGGATGAATGTGGGGCCAACTAATTGCTCGGCCAGCACCAAAAATCAAGAGCCATATCAGTCAAAGGCTGGGGATCAACATAAACGTGACGTCATGACGTGGCTCTTCTCAGGCGCTGGTCGGTGGAAAAGCAAATTGGATCTTAACTTGTTTCCAAGTTGAACTAACTGTGAACCAAACCAGCGCGGCTCGGAACTAGAACGGAACTCTCAGTGGAAAAGGGGTATCGGAGGTATGTGATGAGACGTGCTGTCACTCACAGTCATGAACACAGAGGCCAGCAGGAGCCCCACGGAGAAGATCAGACCTTTGCTGTTGATTTTGATCTGCAAAAAGATAATGTGTGAGACATTAATACTATTACTATTAGAACGAACACGGAAGGAAAGTGACAGAAAGTTTGATCCTCTCATACATTTCATAATGGTAAAAAGAAAATCTATGACTACTATTAATTGGAGTGCTGACTCATCTGAATTCTACCTTTTTTGCAGGATTATGACTTTAAAAATTATCATTTTTGATCAGAACTCAATACATTTTTCACTTTTGGCCCTAAAATCGTGGTAGCCTGGAATTTTTGTTGTTGTTATATTATTCCATTTTGCTGCAAAATGAATTAATTCCAGTGAAGTCTGGGTACAATCCTGAGTTAACCGTACCATTTTTCCAATGTTTCACAAGTTATGGACATTAATGTACTGTTCAATAAAAAAAAAAGTATGTATACCTACAGAATGCAAGGTCTGTGCAGTTGTGAGAAGCAAAAAGAGTGCACTTCAGTAACAACTCAGGATACTGATAACATCGTCTGAAATCCTAATGATTTATGCTTTTGTTAACTATTAATTATTTTTGGAAACATGTATGAATAACAACAGCTAATTTCTATACCAATTAATTGTCTTTGTTTTCATTTTTTGTGGTGGTGCATAACCCAGATGCTTTTATAAACAAACCAGTTACTCAGCAATTCTCTTGCTTTTTGTTTTCTCATTTTCAATTTGGTATTTGTTATCAGTCATTTGTTGCAGATAGCTGCATAGCATTTTGTTCTTGTTATCATGTTTTCTCTTTACTGAGAAACTGCTCCAACATTTGTGCACGTCCCTGTTGACAGGGTTACACAAACAAGTAGACTTTTGTCACCCCAATGTATTGTTGTTATTTCCATCTAGTAAATATATGTTTTGAGTAGTGCTGTCATGCTGTGGGTAACTGAAAGGTGTTATGTTACATCATGAAAAGTAAACTAGCCTTGGATGTACAGACACTCCACTTAATGACTTTAATTTAGGCTAAATACTATTTTGATGGTTATCTAAAGTTAGAAGAAGCACCAACTTTAGTGTTGATGAATTCTGAACATTGCCATCACCTGTATTGCTGTGAATAGTTCAGGTTTGACCTTGAGAAGAGGGGGTTTGAGGTACATTGGGGAGTGTGTTACTTACATCAGAGCCGTAGTTGATAGCGAGGGTCTTCACGGACCAGGGGAGCCCGAGCCCCACCAGGATGTCGAACACGTTACTGCCGATGGAGTTGGACACAGCCATGTCTCCCATTCCTGAAAATAAGATAGAAAGAAACGGAGAGAGAGTTACCGAGATGTGTTTCACCTCTGATATATGGGGAGAAATAATCACGTGAGTATAAACTGTTGTTTCCTCAAGAACTTTACACTAATGAGAAGAATACCCCACGTTCCCCGGATATGTGGATGGAGACAGAAGCAATCGATCTGAGGATGCTAGATTCAGAATATTTTGTAGATCACAGATCAACAATTTTACATTTAACCTGTTTCACATACTTACGAAAAATAATGATCTCCACATTTTTTATTGAGATTAGATCATATATACTTTATTGATCCCAATTTTGGAAATTGTTGAGTTCTGACGTAAAGTGATTTATTTTCGGGTTTGGTGTTAGGGTTATTAAGAGATGCATTTCTAAGAAAATCTCAGAATTCTGAGAAATAAATCACAATTCTGAGATTACAATTGAAGTTCCCAGAAAAACATTTAAACAAGCAAGAACAAGTCATTTTCTTATCATTTAAGGCATTTTAACTTCATTACGACTTTTATGGTTTACACTGGGATGTGTCAGGTTCGGACATAGGTGGCTTGATACGTGTGACATCAGTGGATCTGCGAGCAAGACCCATCCCCAAACCTCAATCCCCCCCCCACACAGTTTAAATATTTGATAACAGGAGCAAGAATAAATACAGATGAAAGGATGGAGGAAGGGACCCTGTCAGGCTGTCTGCTCTCAGCACCCCCCCTTTCTTTTACAGCCTCGCCACAGGGATGGAAGGGGGACAGTGGAAAAGCCCCCCCCACTCACACTCCCCCCCCACCCATCTCTGTCTCTGTCATCTCTTCCCTCTCTGGCTCTTTGATACTGCATTCACTTTGATTCTGTTGTTTGGCTTCAATGAGCTGTTTGTGTGTGTGTTTGTGCTAAATGACAGTTTTGTAACCTGTTATTTGTGTGTGTGTGTATGTGTGTGTGTGTGTGTGTGTGTGTGTGTGTGTGTGTGTGTGTGTGTGTGTGTGTGTGTGTGTGTGTGTGTGTGTGTGTTTACCTTGTCGTGCCACTATAAGGCTGGCCATGCAATCAGGGACGCTGGTGCCGGCTGCCAGGAAGGTGATGCCCATGATGACGTCCGGGATACCGAGTGTGAAGCCGATCACTGTCACCTGACAGAGGAAGACAGAATATTACTGCCTGTATTTTGGCAGGTATTTGTTTTTCTATTTTGAAATCCAAATCAAAGCAGGTTTTCGCAGTGGCCAAACAGTGGTACTACAAGTACTATTTCTAACCCTAACCCCCATTTACTTAGAATGAGAAAGAGAGTTCTGTAAATTGTCTATGTACATCAGCTTGCCAGGATGAACATGTGGCTATTTATTTAAATCATTAGTTTTTTTAATCTACATTTCTACCAATGTGCCTCCCCCTCAATTCCCCCCCCCAGTCTCTCACCATCCAGACCATGATGTAGGAGAAGCCAGCGATCCACAGGGTGGAGCAGAAGAAGGACAGCATGAAGTAGTTGTCCCAGCGAGGCGTGGAGCAGTTGGGGACGGTGAAGTACAGCAGCAGGCAGAGAGGCCAGGCCACCAGCCACTTCAGCTTGTTGAACCCCCCCGCTGCAAACACACAAGAAACACGAGATATATACACTGATGAAGAGGGAGGAAGGATCAACAGACTGATAAAAAGATGATCATGCTCTCTCATACTACTACCGTATTAGGACAATGTTATCTCATGTACGTATATTGTAATATAGATGTTACATGTTGTAGTACAATGTCAACATTTACATTTTTATATTTCTGTTTTTATTCAAAAATGTTTATCTTTTATTAAACATTTCACTTTTTTTTTTACTTACAATGTTTTATTGCACGTTCAGTTATTTGTATTTGATCATTTATTGGACATTTTATGTTAACTTTTTATGTTCAAATAACTCTTTATATTTTGTATTTAACTTTTTATTGCTGCAGTTGGATAGCTAGCTAGTTACTAACATTAGCGATACCAAATCATCAATTAACCGTGTTTTCTTTTCAACACCAGAATAGTGATGTAAGTACGTTACTTATATAGTGAATAAAAAACATATGCATGACTATATATGTATAGTTCAACTGGTTGTGAAGCTTCCGTCACATAACCAAGATGGCCATCGTTGAGTGTGAGAATGTGTCCAGTGTTTTGCACTCAACCTTTTTAAAATGTGTGCAAATCAGGGTTTTCCAAAAAAGTATTTCTTTAAACACAAGTGACAATAGATAATTTGCGTAAACACAGTGCCCACAGATCCATCTCCAGCAGGTACCTGGGCACTGGAAGGGTACAAAGGGCCCCCCTCCATCCTCTTCTTCTTCCTCTTCATCGTTCTCATTGTTCTCGTTGTCCTCGTTGTCCGTCTCGTTACCCGCCTCTCGGTCCTCGCGGCGAACGGCGATCCCCCTCTCAGGTCCGGACATCCCATTCTCTATGCCCCGCCTACTTCCTCCTTTCACTTGAACATCTGAGTCACCATTGGTCAAAGTCCGTGAGTGGATTAGACGCTGCCTCTGTTACACACACACACACACACACACACACACACACACACACACACACACACACACACACACACACACACACACACACACACACACACACACACACACACACACACACACACACACACACACACACACACACACACACACACACACACACACACACACACACACACACACACACACACACACACACACACACACACACACACACACACACACACACACACACACACACACACACACACACACACACACACACACACACACACACACACACACAGTATTATTTTCAATTTATGTCCTCTTTACCAATTAACAAAGAAAATTGTAAAAATTAGCTTAAAAGCTCATAAAAGCTCAAAAAACTGATCTCTTTATTGTGTTTATATTGAAAATGAAACTTCAAAAGAGTTTATTTGTTTACATCTCAGTTATAAACTTTTAAAAAGTGTTGTAACAAGCGATAGTTGCTGCCGGAGCCTGAGAAACTCCACCGGCAGTCATACGATGGCTTAGATGCCCTCACGAATGGCCCGATGTTGCTACGATCACAGCCGAATTTGAACATTTCCTTTATCGTGTGTCCATCGGGTGTCAATTTCGGGACAGTGTGACAGGGGCTTTAAAGAAAGGACAATGAAGGTCCTGAATGTGAACATCACACACATGACTTGAGTCTGAACACAGCAGACAACAGGAGTATTTACAACAGCATATAAAAACAAAAACACTGCATGTGGGTGCACACTTACATTCTCTGTCTTACTGTTACATGAATCCCATGATTGTATGAGATTAAATTAGCTTCATCATATCTCAATCAGTGATTAAGTGAATAATAAAGTTTCTATCGGGTCACTATCAGCCTGTCACTCATTATTTTCAGGGAGGGGGGGGGGGTTTGGAGGAACGGAGGAGACTGTGATCGCGGAAGCTTTTTCCTCCTGCCTTAACAAACTTTACACACGTATATATCGTCTGAAAATAGCAAGAGGACATTCATACTCTGCGATCCAAGACTTGATTAAATCCACCAAAAACCTGACATGATTGTAACGCGAGTATTTTTTAAAAACATAAATCCCTGTGTCTCTGAGCCGCAGCGACACGGAGTGATTCAGAGCGGGTCCTTCTGCTGTTGGTTCTGGACTGGTGTTCTTGTGTTGGTGGATAAAGCAGACTGCTCCGTGTTTGGTGTCGCTGTGCCGCTGTTCCCTGATCTCTGCGTCACCGACCGATTTGATATTCAAGTGACAGAAAAAAAAACGTTATTGTAAAGCCGCGGCCAGAAAATCAGTAAGCAACGTTACTACGCTATAATCGATTATGTTCTGTCACTGCATCGATGCAGAATCGTCCACATCCGCATCGCGATGCACCGTAGAAACGATTAATTTCAACACCCCTACAGTCAAGGTGATCATGTTCATTTCAGACAGGTAGTGCTCAGTCTAAATGACAGCTGGTGAATAAAGTCATTAGCATCTCCCTTTAAGCTTTTATTAACATCATATTATGGTTTAAAGTGCTATAAAGCGCCTCATCCTGTCTGTGAAGCTAGCACTGATGTTCGCTTTAGTAGCTGCACAGCAGAGCTGTCAAATTGCAGAGATAAGAGTGTTAGGTGAAGGGCCCCTTAAAGAAGCACACTCTACAGGAATCAAAAAAATATATGGTAGAAGGGTTGAAGTCCTTCCCCCAGTTGACTCGAACTGGCGGCCCTTTGCTTCCCATGCTAAGTCCCTACAGATTGAGGGACTACAGCCGCCCCAAAGCATAGGCAGTCTGTCATTATTTGATTGCTAGTGGCCTGTAATGGCCTGTAATGAGAGGAGCGTATATATGGTTTGTGTGCTGTAGTAGCAGAAATTGAGACGTAAGGGTTAGGGTTTAGGCTAACGCACACACTCTTCTGAGGAAAACCCACTGCAGCCTGCTTCCAATTGGAAATGGTAGCCATCCCTTTATTTTGTTCATGTTTCAATGAAAAGTGTTGTAGTGCGCCTGTGTGTACCTCTGTGATGAGCATCCGTGAAGCCATGGTGAGCCTGGTCCTCGGAGAGAAGTGGTCGGTGATCATGATTCTCATGCCCGCCTCAGAGAAGGACAGCTGGTGGGGGTAGGCTGACAGCAGCTCGTCCACCATCAGCACAGACGGCTTCCTGTGGTGGTTCGCTGTGGGAAACACACACATGCATCTTCTATATTCCATACCTCGTGACATCGTGCTAGAACAGGGGTGCCCAACCTTTTTTGAACCGAGAGCTACTTTTAAAGTTGCCAGTCTGCCGAGATCTACCAGTCCAAATAGAGAGGCGTAGCCATTACTGACAGCCTACTACCAGGTCAATACACACTTCTACTTGTATAAAACTGACCTTTGTACGATTAATACTTCATAAAATACTGCAGATCCTTTATTTTACCTCTTTCTAATCTACACACATACAAGTATTTAACTGAAGTTACACAACAGTGTTGTTGATACAGAGTTGGAGTTTATTCACACGTCACATACTACAGTGGGTAATGTTTTCAAGAAACATTGAACAGTGCTGCCACATATGACACAGGAAAAAAAGGAAAGACTCTGAACCCTTTCTTTGCCATTATATAAAAATAGTGTTGCTACAAAAGTATAAATTAGGCTTACTAATAAGACAACTCAGATCTGAAGCTACACAGGAATCTGCTGCCAAAGTGCAATAAAAAAGACAAAATTAATAGAATCAAACCCTTTTTTTGGTGCATTTTAGTAGAGTATAAAAATAAATGCCTTTAAAATAGGATGCAAGCAACACTAGTTTCATAACCTGAATTGATAATAGACTATAATCAATTTAAGTTTGCATTCTTATACCATTTTGTACAATAATTATAATGAATAAGTTCAAACAAACTCAAAGCTGATTAATAACGGTATCTAACTTGAGTTTTTATCATATCAAAAACCTGTTGAAATGCTACTGTTATTTTTATTACGCATCGGCAGCCTCCAGGAATACTTCTTTCACAACTTCGCCATCTTTGAAAGACTTCATGTGTTTCTCAAGAACGTGACTGACACGATAAGATGCTCTGGTAGCAGCCTTGCTCTTGTTGTTGGGCCTGGTGAAAAGGGACTGCTGTGCATTTAGCTGTCCTTTCAGGCCCCTCCCCTTTTGGAGCGTAGGGCAGAATTAGGAGGGAATTCCGTCTCGTAGCGTTTGTGCACTGTTTTGAAATGCCGCTCCTAAATTACCCTTCTTCGATAAAGCCACGCTCGCATTGCAGATGAGACAGATGGACTTTGAATTGGAATAGATACAAAAATAATCATCCTCCCACTCGGAGTGACAATTATATATGTTTTGCTTCTGCCATAATTGCGGTCTTGTGTGTGACTGTGTGCGGACTGTCACTCCTGTTGACACGGACAGTGTTAGCGAACTAGTGCACTGCCCACTGCTCACCAGCCACGCCCCGACACATGGGGTCACGCCGGCCAATCACAAAGCTTTGATGGGTTCAAGTGCATTATTCTGGCACAGGAAGATTATGTTACAGGACATTAACGATAAAACAGAATATTGTTGTTCTATTTTTAGACACATCTCGCGATCGACTGGGAATCTCCCCGCGATCGACCGGTCGATCGCGATCGACTGGTTGGGCACCCCTGTGCTAGAACATACAGTTCTTTAACACACAAATCAAATCCTAGATAATGTATTCTTACATGATTTTTTATTTAACTAAGCTTAAAAAGTTAGCAAGAGGGAAAAAGTTAGCATGGCTCTGTCCTGTGTTAGATAATGCACATGCGCAATGGAGTGGTGTAGGAATTCAGGAGTCATAAAACCAGGAAATGAGCATTTTACCACTGCCGGTGTCCTCGTCTCGTAATCAACGTTTGTATAAGATCTGTAGTTAAAAACAAAGCTAAAGAGATCTCATTTTTTATTTTATGACATAAAATATGTCAGTTACTACCCGACTGGTTAATGTGTGGAGTTTTTATGTATGTTAGAAACGACTGTTGCTAACAGGTTGATAAATGAGACGAAATGTTGTCACACGGAACATTTTCCACTTTTAGCTTAGCGGTGGTTATGCCTGTGGTTTTAGCTTTTTACTTCTGGCAATTGCATTAACGTTCAAACTATTGTGAAAGTGTTGTTAATATGTGGAGATTATCCTAATGAATAAAACGTTTAAGTATCACATACATTTGTTTGCCAAGGATCTCATTTTCAAAAATATAGTGTCTACATTGCTTGATTAAATATGTTGTGTGAATGTTGGTAGGAAAAATACTGTGTGAAGGGAGAAGAGACAGAAAAAACATTACTGATAGGCAGGGCCGCCTTAATGCACGGGCTGACCTGGGCTGAAGCCCTGGGGCCTACGGAGATCGGGGGCCTATCATGAGCGAATTAAAAAAAAAAAAAAAGTTTTTTATTTCGGATGTTTTTAAAAATGTTTAAATAAACAAAGTCTTGGCTTTCAGAATATGAAACTTTTATTTCCAAAATCAGACGATAAATACATTTTTGAAGCTTGTAAAGGGAAGAAGACAGCTCTCCCTCGACACTCTGCTGTTCCCCTCCCTCTGCTGACATTATAAATGTAAGGCGTATAGTAATCATAGATAACACGGCAGGGTCCGTTACAGTTTGTTTTAATCTGATTTCAAATAAACAAAGTCTTGCCTTTCAGAATATTAAACTTGTTTCGGCAAATTCAGATGATAAATACAACTTCGAAGCTTGTAACGGCATAATTACAAGCGGAGAACGGAGTAACTTGACGTCACAGCAGGCATAACAACAGCCGATGCCGGAGTGTTTTCCCCGGGAAACAAACACAATACACACAAACGCAAAAATACACAAACACACACACACTCGTGAGCTTCCCCCAGACCAGTAATTCAAACGAAAATATCTTCCCTCCGTAGTATTTTGATCATTTGCTCCGCTAATCAATCAGATCGATGGATTCCAGAGATTTTTCTCAACAATGATGGGCACCACTTAACAGCCAATCAGAATGAGAATATGTTTCACATGTGACTTATTCAAATTGCGAGTGATTGAGTGACAGATGAAGGTTGTTTAAGAGAAAAAGTTTGAGAAGAAAAAGTTTGAGAGTGGCGCTCGGAAAAGGAAATTGTTGAGGGAAAAGTAGTTTCGAGACAAGCAGCTATTACAAAACATGTCGAAGCTTACAGGTTATTTTAAACCTGTAGGCCAGGATGAGGAGGAAGGACAGATGAGTTCTGTACCGAGCGGCAGCGGTGCCGGCCGCAGGGCCTCGGAGGCAAGTAGGCCGTCTGGTTCTGATAGCGATGGAGTAGCGGGAGAGGAAGAACAGACAGGAGGGACATTATCTGTTGGAGGAGATGGAGAGGACGACGAGGACTTGCTACATGGAGGGGAGCCAACGGCAACCGGACAAATACATGAGGGAGGCCCGATACGTCACTCATCTGGAGGAAAGGACCAGGCGCGCGTAGAGCAGAGTGGAGAAGTGCGATCACAGAGCCTGCCGAGGCTATAAATGACTTTGATTTGTTGTTTAAATAGGGGGCCTACAAAACCTATCAGCCCCAGGGCCTGATGGCAGGTTAAGGCGGGCTTGCTAATAGGTAAAAATTAGGGCTGTCAGTCGATTAAAATATTTAATCGCGATTAATCGCATGATTGTCCATAGTTAATCGCGATTAATCGCAAATTAATCGCACATTTTTTATCTGTTCTAAATGTACCTTAGAGGAATATTTTTCAAGTTTTTAATACTCTTATCAACATATGAGTGGACAAATATGCTTTATGCAAATGTTTATTATCATTTGAACAATGACAAATATTCTCATGAATATTAAACACAACAACCTCTGAACATTACAAATATTCGCCTCAATTCAACCTGGAACCTCTCTCATTCAATAATACAATACAAAGTGTGTGTGTGTGTGTGTGTGTGTGTGTGTGTGTGTGTGTGTGTGTGTGTGTTTGTGTGATGGATCGTTAGAGCTATGTGCAACTCAAGGCATATGCTCGAACGGGAGCTGCCTGGACGCTGCGATCATGTTGCGCGCACTATCCGAGCTGAGTGTGCTGACTTTTCGTACAATGTCCCACTGTCTGGCTTCCTGCATAAAGTCAAGTGCTCGGCGCAGTTGTCGGCGAAATGTCGCTCCTGTGTTTTCATTTAAACAGCTCCTTATATCCGTTAGCGCAGCTAACTAGCACCAGATGCTAACAACAACAATGCACGTAAGGTCTCTCTCTCGCTCGGGCCACACATACACACACCCTCCCGGTCCTCCCAACAGCCAGTCGGTGCCTGCCGGTGAGCGTGGAAGTGTGGTCTGCCACAAGCGGGCGGCAGGAGCGGGGCTGTCAGCATCAGCTTGTAGATGGTATTTTAAACTCGTTGCGCTCTGAAACTACGGGGTGGCCGAGGACAAAAAATGCACATGCGTTAATCGCGTTAAAATAATTAGTGGCGTTCATTTTTTTTGGCGTTAACGCGTTATTAATGCGTTAACTTGACAGCCCTAGTAAAAATGCACATGCGTTAATCGCATTAAAATAATTAGGGGCGTTCATTTTTTTTGGCGTTAACGCGTTATTCACGCGTTATTAACGCGTTAACTTGACAGCCCTAGTAAAAATGCATAATGCTGAACATTAGCCGCCTTTAGCTTAGCGGTGGTGACGTTATGTCATGCCACCGTCATGAAGTTTTTTCATAGTCGTTTTTACATTTTAACTTCTACAGATCGCATTTACACTCAACAATCATAAAAGTGGTGTTAATATGTGGAGATGATCCTACTTAACAAAAAGTGTAAGTATCATAAACATAAAAAATAACCTTTCTTCAGTAGAACAGATGTAGCGTCACAGCCATCTTCAAGCTCGCCGTTAGAGGCCACTCCGTTCCTCAGACTGGACGAATTCTTCGTCCGCCTCTCCAGAAAACGAACAACGTAGGAGTTCATCCTGAAACAAAGGTCAAGACTAATTCACATGGAACATTTATGTACAATAGGTGATTTAAAACAACTTTGATAACAAAAATGCTCATCAGTTTTGTTTTATTGGGGGAGATCCACGAGAGTTTTCTGTTTTTTTTATTTCCATCAATATTAATAACAAACTTTATACCAAGGCCCCAGACAATAGCGAAAGAAAGTGAATTTATTCCAGACTCAGAAAGTGCCAGAACCTTTTTTCACAACAATGTAAGTTTAATAAAGTAAAATTGTGGCCATGGAGGATAATTCAATCTCACCAATGAGGTTGTGAAAAATAACACATGGAGCAAAAAACATTGCAGAACCCGACCCTGCAGTTGACTTACTAGAATGACCTAAATAAGTTTTGTCAATGCAGAACTTTTGATGTGAAAAAAGAGCAACAGGAAGTGATTATTCTGACGCCAACTGATAATCACCGACTTAAAACATAGCATACTGAATATCAATATGAAAAGCATTCTGACTAGTTGTAATGATCAAAATCTTACTGATATGATTAAACGGGTTAGCTGTGATCAACCGGTAGGGGACTCCTGTTTTGTCCTGTTTGTGTTCTTTAAAAAAAACTTACTTCATTATCAAAATGTAGACGAAATACATCAAAACCAACGTCAGAGCTTCCCACCTGGAAAACACAATTTGGATAAACTACCATGTGAATCATTTGTTCTTATTTTTGATTGATTAATTGTAAACATTCAACACTTGTAAAGATTAGACTTACCAAACAATTTTTTCGTCATATATGAACTGTAATATGAAAGAGGAAAAATGACTGAGAAGTGAAAATCAGATATTTAAATATGCAATTAAAACAGCTTTTAAAAGCATGATTATTGTAAATTCATAAAGGTGAAGAGGAAAATTAAGACAAACATCTTCTGTCTTTGAATACACCTGTGTGTCGTTTCTTGACACAGCTAACAATTTAGGAGACAACTGTTGGAAAACGATAGTCTCAACACTGTACGTTACCGTAGTGATACACTAACACCAACAAATGTTACTGTGTTATTGTAAAACAACACAGAAAATGTAGATTAAGGCTTGTGTTTAAAACGAAAACATTGTGAATTATGTTCATAGAGTTGGTTACAAAGAGCATAATTACATGTGGACACATCAGGACCACTTAAGTTTGGTGATAAAATCTATTAATATTTCCAGAGAATGCAGGATGAATCTTTGTATTTGCAAAGTTTGTGACTCTGGGTCGTATCAAGCTGTTCCTTACCACTATGAGAGCAGTGATCGACAGGGTGTAGTATGTAGAGTCTCTGATCAGAGGCCAGCGGGTGAGATGGATCGCCTGAGAAAGAGAGAGAGAGGCCAACACTTACAGACAGGCTGCACAATGAGTCAACATTTTATTGAAATGGAAATATGGACTATTGCATTAATGTATTTTTTAGGTGTAACCAAAAGTGATTTTCTTTCTCAGAATTCTGACTTTATTTTTAATAAAATAATTCACTTTTGGTCCGATCTCGAAACAAATTCACATGGCTCTCATCCTCGTGTGTGGGTGCAATATTCAAATTGCAGGAAGAACACTATTTGTTAAAGGCTTAATATGTACTGTATATATACATTTTGAAGGAAGAATTATCGAGCTGCAGGACTATCCCAACCTACAAATTATATTTTACAGACTTATCAAAACACAATTTGTTGGAACAGATCATCTTTGAAAAATACTCCCACCATTATCAGTTAATACATTTCATCATCATAATAAGAATTCTAATCAAAAACAATTAATCTCTCCAATATCGTGAATCATTGCAAATTGCGAAATCAGTCAAAAATAAAGAAAAATCTCAATTTGTCCAAACCATGCAGCCCAGTCGCACATCCCACAATGCACTCACTGCTGTGCACTTCTAACAGGATAAAGCAGGCCCTGTGTGTGCTTGTTTGTGTTTGTGCATGTCTCTTTTGGGCTTGCATAACATGCAATCTAAATAAGAATTTCAAGTCTGCCTTTCTCCCAGGATTACAGCAGGGAACGAGACACATAACAGTTGATTCAGACGAGAGAGAGATTGTATTATTCATTTGAGGTTTTATTTTAAGTTTTTGTATCAACTTAGGGGTAATGCAGGAAATAGAAATGTTATTCTATGAGAACATCATATCAGCACATTGTCAGCTCATGGATGGATGGATGCAGGAATGAGTATTGAAATTACTAGTAGTAGTATAGAAATGACTTAGTACTGGACATTAGTTAGCATAATACAAATTCTCACACCTCATCTCTAAATCAATGATTAGATTAGAACTGTGGTTAACCCATGCAAGATTTTCACATTTTGTTCTACGACATAAAATACGTCAGAAAATACCCCAATTGTTAATGTGCAAAGCTTCTATGTGCCTTAAAAAAGGGGGTAGCTAATAAGTGGCTAAATGAGACTGAAAAATGTTGTTATGTCATACAATAGCCGCCTTTAGCTTAGCAGTGCCTGAATTAAGATATGTGGTTAGGTGACTAAATGAGTATACTTAACGTCCTCATGCTAAACATTAGCCTTCTCTAGCTTAGCAGTGGTTATGCCTGTGGTCTTAATTTTCTACTTCTAGCAATTGAATTTACGCTTCAAAACCAAAAAAGCGGTGTTAATGTGTGGCGATTATACAGCAAAACAAAACATCTAAGTATCATAAACGTGTGTTTGCCACAGAGCCTATTTTCCTCTATCCTGGCATGCGAGGGACCTGTGAGGCGAGTTCACGTACTGGGCCCGCTATTCCAGTCTAAACATGTCTAGAGACACACCCCGCATCGTGCTGTATGCTTTCACACATTCTGCTTCCACATTGGAAAAGAGCAGTGCAAAATGCTCGTTATGTGGAAACAATATTGAAGAGAAGGTTCCGTAAAACATTACTCTAAGGATCGAGTTCAGACATATAGGCTGTCTTGAACACTCATCAGAATACCATGATCTAATAAATAAATAAAAATGCAGCCAATAACACGAAAGCACATGGCTACTTAACATGCAGAATGATGTATCTGTATGTATCTGAATTTGTTTGCTCCAAATTTACCTATGTGAAATAAAAATGTAACAATTCAAGTTAAAAAAATTCGAATGCACAATTTCGGTGTATACAATTCGACGTAAAAAATGTCGGTGTATAAAATTCGACGTCAAAAATTGCGATGCAGCATCATCTGGGCTACTCAGACAGGATAAGCAATCGAGCCCGAATGCAATCAAACCAACTTCTGGCCTATCAGAGCCAAGCGGCGAACTCCTGGACAGCGCGGTGAAGCCCAATGCTGCAAACTGTAGGCGATGGATGCAGATGGGAGCAATTCCCGTAGACCCTATGTTAAAATGTCCAACTTAACATCAGAAATTGAACATGTTTCTAGCCTGGATCCACAAAAACATATTCTGTATATAGTTAGATTCCCCCTTCATGATAACGGGACTGCTGCTCCTAGCTCCTCTGTCTCACTGCTAGCTCCGTTAGCTCCATTGGCTCCGTGATGCGACAGGGGCTCAGCTCATGAGGAGAACACTACTTGAACTCGGCCGTGTTTGTTGTGTTGGTTCCTGGTGGACTATTCGTCATGCAAATATAGGATTTATCTGCGGTTAAAACAGACCGTCCATGAATGCAGTTTCTTCGGTAAGTCAACCCTGCGTACTTTATGTTAAGTTACTGGTGTTTTTATTAAGCTAACGTTAATGAATGTTTAGAGTTGGGTTAGCATTTGAGCAATCGGTAGCTCCATCTGTGCTAACGATGCTATGCGTAGCATCCAAGAGTGTAAAACATTAAGTGGGATGCTACTGTATACCAAAAGGCTTCTGTGCGAGGTTGGTAAAATAAGGTCATCCTTGTACGTTAGATAGTTAATTTGCTAGTTAGGTTACTGTATGCATTGTTAAGGTTCATTTAAATTCGCTATGCTCTACTCAGTGCTGGAATTGGGCCGGTACTCACCGGTACGCAGTACCGGCACTTCTGGTTCTGACCCATGGAGTACCGGCACTTCTTGCTCAGTACCGGCATGCTGGCGGTACTCCGGTACTCATGCACCGTGCCAGTACTCAACACTCTCCCGCCGTTCTTATTATACATCCATATATATATATACAGCCGCCCGGTACTCAGTAGATGCGTCATGAGGTGCCGAACGGACATTCTCATCGCTCTAACCGCTGGAGTTTCACAGCGGCTGTCAGCTGTTTACTCCTGTCATTCAAACAGAACGTGCTGGAGAGGGGGCGGGGCTTATCTTCTCCATGTAAATACTGTGGTGGAAACGACTATGTCAAAATTAACCTATTTGACCGTGATTTAATAGTAATACACGTTTCAAAATAATAATAATAATAATGCCGAAGTAACAACATACTGAAAACTGTTAGTAAAACCATGTTTTAATGCTTTACAATTTACATACCTAGATGCACGTGTGTTGTGTTTATGCAGTGCAACTCCCACCCAGTGGGTGGCTATGTAGAGTGATAGAACAGAGCAGGCACGCCCCCGAGAGAAGGAAAGTAAGGCACGTCACAAATTAGCATTTCTAAAATGTTAGGGTGGATTAATAAAAGTGCAAAAAGACAGCGGTTGTCGCCGGAAGAAACTTCAAATACAGAGAATGCTGTGCCTGTGTTGGAAATTGTGTCTGATGGGGAGCTTTCTTTGGTTGATCCTCCTGCTCCAAGTTCTAGTGCATTAGCATTAGCTCCGCCGCCTCCTCCAGAGCCTCTAAGGTTAGCTGCTGCTGGCTCAACTGCCACCACCAACACCGGGCAAAGCGATGCACCTGACTGCTGGACAACGGACAAGGTGCAATATTTTTGCAAGACCAATGCATGGCTCCTTCTTAAAGATAAGAAGCTAGGATGTCGAATATGCAGAGATGTCAAATCTTTGGGAATACACACTGGACAAGGACTGAAACTGTCAACTGAATGGGGTGAGTGTGCAGTGTCTCATTTCGGTGTTGACAAGGGCAAACAACAAGCTAGCCTGAGAAAAAAAATCAAAGAACATAAAGAATCACAAGCCCATGTAAAAGCTGCTGACATCCTTACATCTGCTTCACGTGAAACTATTCAACATCAAGTGCAGTCTATGCATAAATCTGAATTAGACACCACTATCAGAGTTTTTCGAACGGCATATAAAATTGGCAAACATAGCCGGCCATTCACAGACATGCCAATTGATTTGAATGTACAGAAACTGAATGGGCTGAACGTGGGCAGGGTTTTGCACTCCAATAAAACCTGTGGCGAAATCATCGACCACATAGCTCATGAGCTGAAGAAAAAAATGGCAAAAGACATTACAGAAAACCAAAGAAAACTCTGTGTTTTGGTCGATGAATCTACCACTATTAGTGGTAAAACGGTGCTTGTTGTGTGTCTACGCTCAGCATTAGCTGATGCTGAGCCCGAAACGTTTTTTTGGGAGCTGATCGAGTTGGATGGAACAACGGCTGATGACATCACAAAGGCGTTAATGGAGTGTCTTGGAAGAGATTTTAACGAGGACTTTTTAGGTCAGTGTTTCGTTTCTTTTGCATGTGATGGGGCTTCAGTCATGCTAGGGAAGAGAACAGGCGTTGCTACCCAGTTGTGTAGTAAATTCCCAAGCCTGTTTGTGTGGCACCGCTCCAATCATCGTCTAGAGCTGGCAGTTGGGGATGTGGTCAAGGAGGTCTCAGGGCTCAATCATTTCCAGATCTTTTTTGACAAACTCTATTCCTTGTTCCATGCCTCCCCCAAAAATCAGAGGCAGTTAGCGCAGTGTGCGCAAGCAGTCGGACAGCGTCTCCTGGTGATAGGGCGTGTTTTGTCCATCCGCTGGGTGGCTTCAAGTGAAAGGAGCGTCAGAGCAGTCTGGGAAAACTACCGAGTGCTTCATGATTACTTCACAAATGCTGCAAACGACACGAGCAGGGATTCCAGAGACAGAGCAAAGTACAAGGGCCTGGATGATGTGCTCACATCTGCAACGTTTGTCAGCAATCTGGGACTGATGTACGATGCGCTCACAGAGCTCAGCGACCTCTCTCGGCAACTCCAAAAAAGAGAGATGACACTGCCTACAGCAGATAGGCTCTTAACTCGATAAATACGAGTTTTTGAATCCATGGTCACCATGCCTGGCCCACACATGACTACAGTTCATACAGCTCTAGCTGAGAAGTCCTTCAAGGGTGTTGCCCTGCGTGAGAATGGCAGGCTTGTACAGATTCATGCAGGTCAGTTTTTCCGCAGTATGGTAGAGAATCGGAGACACAGAATGACTTCCACAACCTCCTCTCAT